TATGAGCACTATGAATCGTTCCGACGTGACGATGCGGCGCACGCAATGGCACTTCACGATTGCCGATCGGTTGATTATGCGATAAATATTTCCTAGGTGCGAGATTAGATTAAGTTTTGGTATGACGCCGTGATGCGGTTCATGATGCCGGCATGAAATGCTGCAGCGAATTGCGAGTGATTGCGATTACGTGCCGACGATGACCCAGTATCGTCACGCTTCCTGACCGACCTTATAATTGCGGCCGCACAGATACAATCGCTAATAACTGCTCCAATAGTTTTTATTCATGAATCATGATTCTTCAAGATAAAACGATTTGCCGCAAAAAAAATTAACAGTAATAGTAATGCTACAAATAACACGTTATTTTCCAATTCTGATTATTATTTCTTTTTAAAAGGAAATCTTAAGCTTCATTGTCACATGATGTTAGAATCAGTTTTTACTACATGGAAAGAACGATTTTGCTGAAGTATCTCAAAATTTAAATACAGATTAAATTTCGTTAAACTAACAAAATAATTATACAGGAAACGTAAGCATGAGTGATGAGTAATACTGTAAAAAAAATATTAATAGCAACTAGTTTGAATTCACATAATTATTTTAATCCAACAAAATTATTTTTAAATTTGTATTTGATATTTTAGTAAAATTGTCTTTTCACGTAGTAGAGTGATTTTGTAATAAAACGCGATAAAAAAATAAAAAGTGTAATTATGATATAAATCATAAATAACACAAATAAGTGTAATAACAATTTTTTAACGCGCACATAAAACAAATATTTAATGTGTGTCTGTGTGTGTATGTGTGTTAATGCAGAAATATTATATTAAATTGAATTGAAGCAATATTTGAATACGAAATAATTTTAACATCAAAATGACGTTATTGTTTTTCCAACTCTAACCTTTTAATTTAATTCCATATTTTTTGTATAGATTTTATAAAATCTAATCGTAATAATGTGTATTATGGAAAATCCTACGTTAATCCGCTCGGAGTAACTTAAGAGACAAAGTATCGAGCCATCAAAAATTCGGTCACCTTTTATCGCAGACTCAACTTATTCCGCTTGAATTCTTAATCAAAGATCGGTGCACCTCGGTAACAGCCACCTCAATCCTGCGGTTTGCTGAACATCCACTCGAGTGGGTCGGTCGGCTTCTCTTCAACCGAAAAGACTTACCGCAGAATTTTCCGAATTTTCGTTCAGTCAGCTTTTGTGAGCCGATGACGATAAAGTAATTTCGTATATTATATTACCATCCCGATATTTTATAAAATTACATATAAAAAAATCCCATCTCTTTTCAATACAATACCATAGAAACGAAGTAGATATCGCGGGACGAAATGAAGGTTTCCTGTTGGAAACGTCCGTCCTAATGTTTACATTTCATTTCGTAATTAAAAACGTAGCAATTAATTTTAATCAAGCGGCGCGCGCAAGATGAAAAACATTGCGCCAGCGAGTTGATTTTTAATCGCTAGCTACTTTTTGTACTTTCATTGTGGTTGCACCCGTATTTACCGTATCCAACCGAAAATGAACCGTTGTCAAGGGAGTGTCATTTGTACTGGAAAAATATATAGTTCGACTATACATATTAGAGGCACACGCGAACGTGCACGCGCTCGCTCGTTAATTTCATTGCTCTGTTTATTTCCCGTGAATGAAATTAAAATAGCTTCTCGGACACGAGGGTCCCTGACGGATGGGATGAGCGGTGGTTCGCGAAATGGGGATGGGTAAGGGTTAGCCCAGAAGGTAGAAGGACCTTAGGTACTGCGCGACTCCACCTTTTTAATTAAAGTTTGAAACTGAAGTAGAAAGCGCATGCGAGAGAGAGAGAGAAAGAGAGAGGGGGGGGGAGGGGAGAGCACCGGTACTCTCGAGGCGAGTGAAGCGCGACGCATAAAATAGTCAAGTGTAGCTTTCCCAGTAGTGAGGACTGTCATCTCGCTTGTTTAACATTCTGTCCATTATAAAATGAGTGGACTGGTCCAGTCAACCGAATGTCTCTCTGTCGAGATGTAATTTCTGGAAACATGTAATTTACCGATAGGTCGTTATGTTTAGTTAATGTATTCTCCGATGGTGGAAGCATCAGAGAAAAATTATCGAAAACATTTCTTGTCAACAGTCTGAATTATTTCTGCATACGTCGCATCGCCGAACAAAATAAATTGAAACGGTAGCTTTAGAGTGGTATTATCTTTTTGCTATCGCTTCATTGAAAGCGGATCACGTAGGCCGACATAAACATGCGCGCGACTAGTGCAATCTGCACCGGTGTCTCGTATCTAATTCGCTTTCTTAAGCTTTATAGCGCTATTCTATTGTCTACGGGTACCATTAATTTCGCTAATGGTTAATCGATAGACAGGCGAGTTGTGGGTACTATCCTACGGTCGCAGTTCACGTGTAATTGTACGGATTCGAGCGATCTGCAGGAAGCAAGAAGTACAATAAAGCTACAATAAAGGTACTCGGCCGGAGTGCTCTATAGTTGTAGGAACGGCAGTCGGTAGTTAGACACCTGTTCGCGGCACAGACGACTATATATATATATATATAGGCATACAGACGTACGAGCGTGCGCGCGTGTGCGATCGTTGTTGCGCGGGGAAAATGAGAAAAAGGCATCGCCGACAAGAGAGACAAGACACGAGAACGATCGGGAAGAGGAATTATAACCGGCGAGAACGGAAGGTGCTATTTATTATCAGCCTCGTGGGGCACAATGGCTCGCGACTGCTGATTGATGTTCTCGCCTTTAGTCACTGTCCAACGTGTGCTATATTTACAACAATCCGCTTAACCCTGTATATCATCGAAGAAAAGTACCGCCGAATCACGCCGAGTGAGAAGCGCGAGTACAGTACACGTTTCATCCTTTCGCGAGATTTAATTATTCCCCATCATGCTGATTTGCACTATAAACTTTGGTAATTAAAGTGATAGAATTATTCAACGGCGGTGTAGCCGCGCCCGATATGAATACGGGAGCAAGCACTACGTGCTATTTACACAATTTCGAAATATACGCCCGGTTCTGCGTACAATTCGCCGTTTGTTCACAAAGAGAACCTATTTTGATGGAACGCGCTACGTGCAGGTAAACGATTGCCGAGTTAATTATTTACACAGTGAATTTATCGCGAAAATGTTATGACCGATTAATTACATGAAGTTAAAATTCAGAGAAATACACGACTGGTTGTGTTATCGAGTTCCGATACGGCACAATAAATCAGAATAAGGTCTAGAATATCGCGAATCGATCGAGCGTCAGTAAGTAATCAGCTGGACGAGTCGTCGTCCAACGTAGTAGAGCCCGTTCTACCTAGAATGTGACGTGTACCACGCACAGGAGCTTACGTGACGAGAATTAGTTATCGCGTGGAAGCAACCAGTGGCGTAGATCCCCATGCGGTTATATATGTCGTAGACCTCCGATAAACGTTCATAAAGTAACCCTAAAAAAAAAAACCTTTACGGGTCAAACTTGTGACTACAATAGCCGCGTCTGCAGAATTTTATACTTCAATCTTTTTTTTAGATCTCTGTCGAGAATAAATGGCGCGAGAACGAAATCTAGAATGTGTCGAGATGAATCGTACAGTGGAGTCGTTGGCGCATAGAGAAAGCGTGTGTCGCACGTTTATGCATAATGCACGATGAAATCGCGGATAACGCAGAGAGGGATGGGCTTTCCGCATCGTCACTATCATGATCATTTAACTCTCCGAGCTGGGCTCGATAATGTAAGCGCGCGCTTTATCTCAGTCCTATCTCGTGAGGCCGCATTATTAATTACGTGCCGGCGGAGTTGCTCAATTGCCGAGAAATTGTCGGCACAAAGCGATCTCGGAAAGCACCGACGACCGCGGCGCCGATGAAAGAGACGCGTGGCGCGATTACTGCATCAGTGACATTGCTGAGAGCTACCGTTGTCGTTGAAAGGGCAGCACGTTCTGCGCGATTGACCGAACTCTGAGCGTGGAATAATGGAACGCAAACTGCATCGTGTTTACAATAGTCGGTGATCGTTCGGATCACGCGACGCACGCTTCGATCTGTCATGGTGACAGCTGAGTTTCTTTGACATTTACGAGTCTGTATTTTTCTTGTATTATCGGGTGTATGATGCGTGAATATTGCCCTTTAAACACATTTAATTTATTTGCCCTTTCAAAAATTTAATGTATTCATTTGTGAAGAATTAATCGTTTAGTTTTGCCAAATGTATGTATTTTTCTCAGAGTGTGACGATTGTCCATGTTGCTCCGGAAAATTGGAACGTTCTCTTAAAAGACAGAAGGATTAAATAATAGCTACCTTTTTCGTATAATGTGACTTTTTTTTTATGAAATAATTATTCTAAATCTTCTCATCTTGCCGCATTGTCGTTAATAAATATATTATTAGTTCGAAAAAAAAATTATTATCCGAAAAAGGATAATGTAGAAATGTAATCGTTGTCCTATATCTGTAGCAAAAAACGTAACAAACTGTCTTCTTTTCTTAATTTTAGCTCTTTGTTTCTTTCTTAATCTTTTTATAAAATGCGGACATATCTTTTTCATATTATTAAACTAATTAGAGCAAAGCCAAATGGCCAGTCATATTACTCAATATATTATTACACAATCAATACAGCTTACAATTATATTATCATATTACAATTTGCAAGATTTTATATACAAGGATGGAGCATGTTTTTAAATAATATGGCAATTTATCCCTTTTTTCGACAAGCCACTGTGGTATTCTCTATTCAGTCACAAAGCATATTTAGTAAAAAAATAAAATGCTTAAATAATTAACTAATTAATCAGTTAAAAAATTAGACTTATTAGACATAATAATGTATACGTTAAGATTAAATGGAGAAAGATGTAGTATCGACTTTATGTGCAGAAATGAATGTAGTTTGAAGTGGAAAAAATAAGTTTCATTCATAAACGATTGAAAAAGGAGCACTCACGTTTAGTGACAGTAGCGTATGTCGCAAGTCCCGTTTCGTGCCGCAATGCTCACCGGTGACCTTCCCTTCTCCTGCCACCTTCGCACTGTCACCTCACGATCGCCGTCCGATTATCGTGATCCACAATGTGCCGTCATTTCACCGAGCACACCACACTCTTTTTTTATGACGCGCGTCAACGAGGAAAAGAAAAAGTCGAAACGCGGGCCGGGCCGTCTCACGCGGCGTGTGCTTTTCGCGCGTCGTGACGTTCGAGCCCGGGTACGACCAAACCGACGAGAGCAATGCGTACCCCTCGCAACCCCGTGACGGACTGAGGATCTCGTCGACGGTGCAGCGCCGCCGTGACCCGTGGCGACACCGCGAACTAAATCCGCGCCCGCACATACGCGCCGCCGAGTATCACCGGCGCGGTGGCGGTCCGCTTCGCGATCTGGATCCTCCCGCTCGACTCTCTCGCCAATTTTAACTCTTCGGATACATCGATGGGTGCTCGTTGGTGCCTGGGTGCTTTCCATCCCCCCTTGAATTTCGGATCTATATGAATAGCAGAAATAAATAAATAAATAAACGGGATACACACACATGTTACTTATTATACGCTCTTGTCATCTTGGTTTTAGATGCTTTTGTGTGTAAAGTTTATATGTTTTTCATTTAAAAAGGAAAGATTCGATATTTGGACAAAACAAACGAGCTGAAATGCGGCATTTTTTTCAGCTGTAACGTGGAACGTAAAGTAATCGAGTTTTTGCAACCGTCGAACCGACGTAGTTTTTGCATTGTTTCTGCTCTCTGTTACCGAGACCGTAAATATACTACCCAGCAGAGTGAATATGAATACGACTTCATTACCGTAGTTATGTGTACACTTTGCAAAATGAATAAAATGTTTCAGCAGTGGAGCGATATTACGAGACAGACTCTGCTGGTAATTAATACCTAAAATTTACATGCACTATAAATAAACGATGCAGTAGTATGCCCATACGAAGTAGCTAGCCAAAGTTATTGAGGAGAGAAAAAAAAATGCAATTACTAATTTTACAATTTTAATCCGCATAAAATGAACTTTTTATTTTCTATACCTACTGTAATATTAACGATAATATTTGTGTTGCGAAAAAGTTGGAGAAAGATATAATAGCAAAATGGTATCCTTCAACTAATTTTAATTGAACAGAACTTTATAATCTAAACGTTCTAGTTAAGAAGTTATTTCGAGGTAAGCATTAAAAAGTAGCAGGGAGAAGCTGGCGGCGTCGCGAATTAATTTTTTTCCTAAGGAACAATCGCCTTTAAATTACTCAAGACACCGCCATCTGCGGACGGAAAAAAAAGTGCGAGGAAACCAGAGACATTTTGCATAATACATATGTCATAGACGTTGATGGTCTTAAACTTGGCTATTTTCCATCGTGCTTTCTAATGTTTCCAGCGTCTCGCCGCAAGACATTGGCGATGCGGTTTCGCACTGCTCTTTCCCACAGGGTTTTACGGGCCACGGTAGAGCGAAGAGGTCCGACGTGGTTCGTCTCGTTCGACGAGCGGCAAACGTCGACGCGGGAATCCGAGTGGGATGGAGGACGCCCGCGCCCGTTCGTGTAAGTGGCACCGTCGGCGTCGCGTCGTTCCGAAATATATCGTTGCGGTAGGTCGCGCGGGAGATCGTCGGTGGTATCCGAAGAACGAAAGACGCAATTATCGGTTAACGTGGCGCTGCTCGGTTCGGTTGCTTACGCCATTTACCGTATTGCTTGTACATTACCGCTTTTCTTCGGGGCTCTATATACCTGACGTTAAACTTGCACACTCTTCCACAGTTCTGTACTAATGAGAAAGGGAAATTTTAAAGATAAAAGAGAGAAAAGCAACAATATATTCTTAACGGGGACGTATCGTTTTTTATTTAAGAAATATGAAACTTATTCTTTCTCCTCGCTTACAGAAACTGCAAGTTAAAATGCTAGTAAAATTTCGATTATAACAGATGAATCTTTCCTCCGAGAGGAGAGTGGGTGATTAGATAACTTTTTTTGCGGAAGAGAACTTTGAAATATCATGCAATAAAAATGAAGAGTCTCGTTACCGAAAATTTGTAATTGGCTAAATTGTCGAAGGCACTTTGCATATCGATATATTTATTAAGTTTTTTTTATCGTGTTTTATCTTTTCTCCTCGAAACGACCCAGATTTTCGGGGTCATCTCCAACGGTTTTCCTCGCTTTTTCAACCTACAAATCTCTCGGTACTCGCGGATGTGGACACATGGTGTAATTTAGCTCTCCGATTTGGGTCGACATCCATTCGGCCGAGGTACTAAACGCTGGTCGGAAACATCGGCGAGCATTGTGGCGACACGATCGAGAACAATATCGCGTGTCCATGAATCAAGCATACCCTCCACTCGAGATGTCGATCCGCTTTGGCCTATGTACGATAATGTCAGCCGATAGCGCGGAATCGGTCGGCCAAATCAATCAGCAGATATATCTCGCGATCCGCAAGGGTCCGTCTAGAATGGACATAGTTCAGAGTTCAGGTCGCGAGTGCGGAGAGGGAGGACGGCTTGTTTCATTTCGAGATGTCTACGTGTATACGGCGGGTGCGGAGAGAGGGCCTCGTACAATCGCTCGCGATTCGCGTTTCGCGTCCGTAAACTGAGCATGTAATGTATTTGTGGGGCGGGGGGAGGGGGGAGGGGGGCTATTGCTTTCGGCCGGAGTTACGAGAGGAGCGCGACCCTCCGGAACGAAACGATCTCGTACGAGGCCAAATACGAGGCACTTAAGCGACGACCTGACCTCCGTCGCTGGCGTCCCCGACTCCGTTTGTCTCGGCGAGCCATCGCCTTTGACAATTCTCCTAACTTGTTCCGAGAAGCTCCACCGGAGCATTGCTTACTCGCGACCGTTTCGAGACTTGTGTTGTTACGCAAGTGGCAGTCCGTTTTACGACACTCGTAAATCAATGAGTCGTGACCAATGAACGTCGAATTCTCGTTAGTCGCCTATGTGGCCTGCGATGATCCGCGTAGGTAGTATGATTCGCGCCTAAATAACGTTAGAAGCGCACTCGTTTCACGGCGAATCGAAAGAATCGGATATCCAGGGTAGCGCAGTAGAATCCTTCGCGGCTAAAGGGGGCTTTTTCCGACGAG